GAGGCCATCATTAAAGAAGACGACTTCTGTCTACATGCAAATATCCTGGCAATCAGGAATGATGCTAACAGAAACAGAGCCTGTGATTGCTTTAGGGTTGCCACCTGTTGGGGTTTTATCCGGACAGTCTGGTTTTTGGCTTCTGTGTCCTGGTGCCATTTATGGTTTCCAGATGCCCAGTTTTTGGCGACCTGGCAACCCTCTCGCACCTGAACAAAAAGCTCAGTTACTGCAGGCTGGGGAGAAGTGCCGGGTCATTAACGCGCACCAGCCTCTGCTCAGCCGGGCCACCTCCTACCTGCAGGCAAGCTCTTTGAGATGGTCCAGCGAGCAATGGTGGGGCGTGGGGAGAGGAGCGACTGATGGAGGCAGGGCCTCAGGGGAAGAGGTGAAAGTGGGGAGGGGCCTCAGGGGTGGCAACCCGAGATTGCTTAATGGAGTTTTGATTAAATATTACAGGGTCATATCATGACACCAGAATTTGAGTATGCATCCCTATTGATTTCAATGCCCTCCTTGAAACCAGCGGAGAGCTGTGCTTAAAAACGGATGGCATGCTATAGCCTTTAATGTCAAGCTTGGCATATGGTTGTTGTGCTTCTTAATACTGATTGATAACTCTAGCAATAGGATTCCTACCTTATCAAGAGCTGCTTGCACAATAGATTCACTCTCATTGTCCAGAGCAGACGTGGCTTCATCCAGCAGCAGAATCCTGGGATTCCTTGCCAGGGCACGGGCAATAGCAATTCGCTGTTTCTGCCCTCCGCTCAGCTGAGCTCCCCTTTCCCCCACCATGGTGTTAAATTTCTGAGAAAACCAGAGGAGCATAGAGATTGCAGAAGGGGTCAGTTGAAATCCTTTTACACCCCCACTCCCATTTTATTGTTACTATCACAAACAGAAATTCCCCCTTTTAAAAGTTTTATGATGGATGCTCCAATAAACACTTTAAGAATAATTACTTCTAAAAGAACTGTCTTGGCCAATTACATTCAGTATTTTTTCCCCTTGAGGCAGAGGACAGTTTAAAATTCCTAACCATCGGTTTACATTTTTGGCTCTGTCTCACCTTCTAGTTGGACAGGCATTAGTATGTGGTGTGATGGTTTTCTATTAGTTTAAAGAATGTACTCTAAAATTAGATTTTTCAATTATTATAAAATAGAAGCAATTGAAGAGAAAAAAAACAGACAAACTAGAACTGGCTGAAGGAATCCAGCCTTGATTGGCTAACAATACTAACCAGTGACTACTCAGGACACATCAAAGCAATTTTGTTTGCCAATCTCAACCCAGTTTAAAAAACAAATACAAAAGATGGGAATATTGGAAGTGGGAACAGATAGATAATACCTAGCAGAAGAAAACAGAATAAAAACAATCTGGTAAATTGAAAAAATCTCACATTGTCCATAGAAATTCCTTATCCACCCTATTAAAAAATGTTGACACATGACATACAGCTAGTATTGTAAATTAAGAACATTGTGGGCCAATTTGTCAACTGGAATAAATTCCAAAACATCAGTGAAAAGCTAGTGAAGCACCATCTATTTGCACTAGCAGAGAATTTGGGCCACAGAAATTCAGTAGAACCGAGAGAGAGAGAGATAAACCGAAGAATTTGTCATAATTATAAGGTGCTCAAAAGTACATCAACTCACATCAGGCAGTCTGGATATAAAATCAAAAGCATTGGCTTCTTTAGCTGCTTTCTCAATTTCAGAATCAGTAATACCCTCTCTGCCACAGCGAATGTTCTCAGCTATTGTTGTAGCAAACAAAATAGGCTCCTGGCTTACAAGGCCAATACGTTCTCTTAGCCACTTTATATTAAGTGTCCGAATATCTCGTCCATCTAAGGTAATCTGAGTGGAAAGGCATAAATGAAGAGTTTGAGGAAATGTATTATGTTTAAAATAATTAGTTCTTATAATGGTAGAATAATAATGATATAATAATTGACTTAAGTATTTGTTTAGCAGCTTCTCACATGGAATAAAGCAATAACATTTAAACAAAATGACCAGGAAAAATTAAAAATATATCTTCACAATCACCTCAGACTAGAAGAATGGAAGGAGTAGGATAAACAAAAAGAATATCCCCAAATATTTAAATCCAAATTTTGACTTCCCTTAATATCAGTAAAGTCCTATCTAGGTTTTTACAATATTCTCATCATCATGGCATACAAGTAATGAAAAATCGGTTTCAGAATTTCGTTGGATGCTATGTATCTTTTGTTCTTTCAAGAATCCAATTTTTTGTAATGTCATTTTAAAGTATAGGTGTAATCTAGTCAGGAAACTAATCTTCATCCTAGTAACCAGGAATATCGACAGTTCACCCAAACTAACCTCTCCTTGGACTGGATCATAGAATCTCTGTAGCAGCTGAATAGCAGTACTTTTGCCACAGCCACTGGAGCCAACCAGAGCGATGGTCTTCCCCGATTGAACTTTCAGGTTCAGGCCCTTGAGAATCTGGAAATATAATCTTTATATGTTAGTCCAGTAAGTATAGAGCTACTTAAATAAATGGTTTGTTTAGGAAAAGGTCCATTAAGATGCTTAGCATCATGATCAAGCCAATAATGAGAGGTCTGGTCTAACAGTGTACTGAACTCCCAGGCCTGCTTTTAGTCCTTTGTTCCAATCCTGGTTGGAAAGCACTTTGAAGATGACAAGAAAAAGTTTTTATTACTAATAACAATCTTGCTTTGTTCTATTCTTATTCTATAAAGACTGCCCTAAGAAAAAAACCTTTGGCTCTGAAAACAAAGTGGGTGTTTTAATATCCCCAATGGAAGGAAGAGTCAGGGTTTGACGATCTCTAGAATTTACTAGGGAGTGATTAGTTATGGAGTAATGACACTTTTGTTGCTATGTTCACATTTAGGAACATTTTACATCAGTCCGTTTATCCCATCTTATAAATGTCTAATATTATTAGTGGCCAAAATATTTGTCTCCTATGGGAACTCTTATGTATATTTATATTTAGGCTGATTTATGACTACACTTTTTTTTGCAATAAAAGATCAAAACAACAGTAATATTGTTCTCGGCTCCTTATACTATACCAGAAGAATTCCAGTTTTCCAGTAAGCTAATAGCAGATAAGCTTTGGTGTTTGCTTGACCAAGCAAGAGCATCATTCGCCACCCCTTTAACATCATGACAGGTTTCAGAGTAGCAGCCGTGTTAGTCTGTATCCGCAAAAAGAACTCCTGTTCCCTTTAACATCATTTCTCATCACGACCATCCCATCTCTAACCTCCCTTTTTAGGTAAGGCAGGAAAGGGTATGTCAAGATAACACTGACAATAACTAGAATCTTCAGCTCTCTGTGACTCAGTTCATTCCAAATCTAGATACTAAATGGAGATTGCCTTGATCTTGTATGTTGATCATCTTTGGCTGGTGATTGATGAGAACCAGGTATCCAGAACGATTCTTTTAGCTTTGCCAGCTACCTCTGATACCATTGATAATGACCCACTGCTGACACAGGGTGAAATCTGGAAGGGATGGATGGAATCATTCTTGAATGGCTCATTCCAGCCACAGGCCCAAAGTGTGGCTCATCTGGCCCAGGATTTCTCTTGTGTAGGGTGATGTGGGATTCTGTCTTGTCACCCTCCTGCTCAATCTGTATGCAAGATCATTAGGGGAAGACAGTGAGACAGTACAGACTACATTGTCTTCAATATTCAGATAACATAGTCTAGGTCTCTGTTTCATCAGACCCAGCTGGGAGAAGTAGACTGGCTTAGCCAGCAAGTTACAGGGTGGGTTAGATGCAGGCAAGTCAGCTGTGACTCACCTCAGAGATGAGTGAGTTTATGCTTGTAGGTTGGAGGAACCCATCAGAAGAAATGGCAGCGCTAACAGCAGCACACTCAACTGAGATTGTAACCTGTTGGATCCAGAGCTGCTTTTGCACGCAGGAAGCAGTAGTGGCGAATAGCATTTTGTTTGTCTTTTACACTTGGCCAGAAGGTTCTGAACTTTCAATTCTAGTACAGATGTCAATCCAGAAAGAAGTATTGGGATTACTGCAAAGTACCATACATGGGACTCTACAACAAGATGACTCGCCTCACAAACTTCAGCTGGTGGAGAGTATGGCAGTCTGTTTCTTAGAGGGCATTTTCTGTAGGGAGAATCTTACCTCCATGCTCTGTGATCTGCACTGGCTTCCATTTCATTGTCAGGAGTGATATAGAATAATGGCTTTAACCAAGAGGCCTTAAAATAGGTTGAGTCCTGGCTATCTCTAAGATTACCTCTCCCCACATGGGATATCACAGCAGCTGAGGTCTTCTGAAGCACTGACACAAACAGCTTTCTGGGTTTAACCACATAAGGGCTGGTGGTGAGGCATTCTTGGTGAGGAGCTTGAAAGAAGAATTTGCTTCTGATTCAATTCACCAGAGGCGAAATTTACTCACCTTCAGGTTATGCTGTAAGCCCCATTTGTTCTCCCTTGCTTTCTCCAGCAGGTGAAAATGAAGAAAAGGTGGATGATGGTGGTGAAGACAAAAATTTAGTTTTGGAAGGACATTCATCCTGCATTGTTGTTGTATTTTTATAACTGTTATAATAACAACATTTAGCTTTTACATTTAGCTCTTACATAGTACATTTCATCCATATATCTCAAAGGACTTTAAAGAGGAGGTCAGTATTACTATCCCCATTTTACAGATGGGAAAACTGAGGAAGAAGAGGTGAAGTGACTTGCCAAGTGTTACTTTGCAGGCCAGTGGTAGAGCTGAAAATAGAATCCTGGTCTCCTGAATCCTCACCCAATGTTCTTTCAACTAGACCACACTGTGGTGCATAAATACCCAGAGTACAGGATGGACACTTTAAAAAAACTGAATTAAAATAAACACATTAAGTTGATAAAATATCAGTTTTCTTTTTAGTCACACAGATAATGGCAGCAGCTTTTCCCTGCAAAGATGAA